AGTGTTTCTCCTGCCCACCAAAAAATGACTTGCATGTTTCACAAGTTTCTTCTGAATAGGTTAGAGGTATCTGGATGGTGGACTCATAGGGCAGTGACTGATGTTTTGCACTGATTTATGTACATATAAGCAAGTGCCCAGTCTGGATAAGTTGGTCTTCTGGGCAAGGGAACTTTTCAGGAGGCTTCATTATCCCCAGTTACATGGAAATGAATGGGAAACACCCATGTTTGGGGGGAGGAGGTTAGATGTATGAAGGGCCCTTAACTAGGGGTACAGAGGTTTGGATTCCAGTTGTGGCTCTCAGGGATAAACTGTGTTACCTTAGAAAAGTGGCCCAGGCCCTCTGGAGTTCAGCTGCCTCATCTATAAAATGAGGGTCTGGACTAACTGCTCTTTAATGTTCCTTCAAGTTTTAGAATTTAATTCATGCGTGAGTTCAGAGTTAAGGCAACAAGGTTAATGATACATAACAACAATGATTTTGTCCTAAGATTTTTTCCATATGTAACTCCTAACTAAATAAAAAGGCTGAGTATAAGCACATATCTCTGGAACCAAAAAAGAGGAAGTCAGAAATTTTGTTTCGAAACTAAGTAAAGTTAAATGAGAGCTTTTTCTGAGCAAATCTAGCAATCTTAATTTACGTAAGCTGGTAAAACCATAAACACACTCAGTGATTCACAGAAGAGAATATTACATTTGCTATTATTAAGCCATAAAGAGTTTATTTGAAATGTAATGGAAATGACAGGTATTTCTAATTCCTGAGCAAATGAAAATTTTGTTTTGTTTATGAATAGGGCCTAATTATAGTTTAATGCTAAATATTTGCCTGAATTTTTTTAAAAAAATTCCAATGTTGTTTTTAAATGGTCTACTTATTAAATGTACCTAGGAAGAGAATTACCCAAAGTCAACAAAAGAATTGGCCTAATAAACTTCAGTTTAACAAAGGTTTCTTGCTTTTTGGTATGATTTTTCTTCTTCTTGATTTTATTGCATGTCGATCTTAATTCACTCTCATTAATTTACCTCTCTCTTTTTTCTTCTTTCAAATTAGCGCTTTCTTTTTTAGATGTTTTGACTAAGTTGAACATAATTTATGAAGTTTACATATTAAGTCACAGATGCTTTTTTTGGCCAACTTTATAAGCTTATTCTGCTTAAGGTAGAACTGCCTGAGTTAAATAAAATAAAAATAGATTTTAAAGACATATGGTAAAGATGTTAAAGACTATTTTTTGTATACTAGGATACTAGCAAATTGCTATCAGTGAGGCTGAGGGTTAAAAATAGATTTTGCCACCACTGATCATTTTTTAGAATGTTTTTCTATTGAACTTCCCTTATCACCAATGTTCTGCATTTGTAAAATGACTCAAGTTTAGAGGTATGAAATGTAAGCAGAATGAATCTAGTTGGCCCTTATGGATATAATCTTGACCTCATTAACATCACCCTATCAGCAGCTAAACTAATGGGTCACATTAAAATAAGAAACAATGTAATAACTGTCCGGGAAAGATGGATTTTAGACAATAAACGCATTCTACTCTGCTCCAAGGCTAAATATTACACCTGCCTCCCTTTGGAATTCTCTAGGAAATAAGAGATTTGCTGCCAGAGCCGAGAATAAGAATTAGACACTAGCTTGTACTTCACTCAAGGTCACCTTCACTCTCCAGAGAGTGCAACAGCTTGAGCCCCTCCTAATCCAATCTAAATTAAATGGTGGAGGTAGCTTTTCAGCTTTCCATTCTGCCTGTGGTCTGTGCACTGTACTTGATCCCTTTATAAAATTAGCTTGGATTCCCAACTCATATAGGAGAGGCATTGACGAAGAGGGAAGAGGAGGAAAGGGAGAGGGCCAAATAGTTCACTGCAACTGCAGCAATGGTAGAAAGCTTTTAGAGAGTACTGAAAAACAAACCCTGCATCTATACCGTACTTTGTAAAAATAGTCTATATTACCCACATCCATAGATTCTCACATCAAATATCATAGACTCTTGTGGAGGGGGCTTGCCGGGGTGGGAATGACTGGGCAGGGTTGGGGGGATCAATTGGGGGAAAAGGAGACATATGTAAAACTTTAGACAATAAAGTAAAAAAAATATATCGTAGACTCTGAAATTATTTTAACCAAAAGGGAAGCTGGTGTTCTGGACCAGGGCAATTTTGAATAAGTTAGTATTTAAAATGAGATTTAAAGAGATAGAAAATGGTAATCAGATGTTCTATAACTAATATATAATGACTCTTTACATTATATAAAGTGTTGTTATATATATTATCTTAAAGCTCATTTATTCTTGATAACATGAACAATGTGTGCCTATTCCTCTCCTTATGAGCGAGGCTATATTTGGTATTTTGAACAATAAGAGACTGTACTGGTTTGTTTGCTAAGGCTGCCATAACACTTGGCCTATTTGGATTTGACACAATAGATATTGATCACAATTGATCATGGCACAGGTAGGATTTAACATGAGCAAAGTGGTGTTTTGAAATGATTTAAGCCGTCATTGACAAATGAAGAAAAAGCCAACTAGAGGCGGGGAAAAGGAGTAAAGGATACTGTAATGACTGATATGTGTGATGACAAAGCCTGCAACATAATGAAAAGAATAGATAAAGGGAGTAAATAACAACAATTATTAAAATATATGCTGTTTGGCACAGAGCAGCAAGAGAGCCTCAATATAGTTATCTTAGATGATTGAATGAATGGTGGTATTCCTGAAAGAATCAGGAGTAGTTTGAAATTAGAATTGATTTGTGAGAAGGTGAGGACTTCAGGTTCCATTTTGATCATATGGAGTTTGAGGTAATAATGAGATATTTATTAAGCACAGATTGGAAATACATGTGTAAAAAAGGCAGATCTGGAGATTAGTAAGGATTCGGGCAATGTTCATATCGGATAACTAAACTAATGTTATCTACCTATGAGAAAAATATATAAAGAGGTGTCCTAGGGATTCTAATCATTGTCCAATAGACACACTCTGAGGAGCAGTTCAGTGGTGTATAATTTTTTAAGAGAAATAACCCAGGCTCAGCCTAACAAATAATTCATACCTACCCCCAGACAAATTCACACTTGCTTTCAAAGGTCCAAGTTCTACCCAAGTCAGAATCACTGGAGGATTTATTCTCTGACTCATAACCCTATTAGCAGTGTGGGAACTGGAAGTTGGTCTCTGTTTATCAACAATCTTCATCAGAAGGAAAGTAAGACAAGACAGTGTCTGGAAGAGTAGGCAATTCATTGCAATTGAGAAAGGGCTCCTGACATCTATTGTAAATTATTCTTTTCCAAGACTAACTCATCTCTTTCCTCCTTCAACTCTTCTTCCTACCCTTGTCAAGCTGACTCTGAATAGGACAAAGGCTTCTTTTTAGTTGGACACAAATTTAGGTTACCTGCAATAGATTATGTCAAGAATGATTCTGAAATACTTCTTGGGTTCCGGACAGGACCATGATGATGATATTCTACAAAGAAAGCCTAAATCTTCCCACACACAGACATGCACTTGTCAAAGGGGTGAAAGGCTTCCAGGGATTTTTCAAGCTCTTCTAAAACCTAAGAACTAGAGACCGACTTAGGAGAGTGGGGCTGATCATAAAAAGAAATCCAAGCAAACAGTGGGAGCCGTTGTCTGTCAGGGACACCCAGGTGGGCAGAGTATGCTGTTACGTAAACCCAGCAGCAAGATATGATATGTCCAAGCAAGCAAGGTCAAGGCGGTCTGACAGCAGGTCACAGGGACCCTGGCTTAAGAACTTGGGTTCAGACATAGCCCTTTGTATGCAGAATGTCATCAAAGGAAAGGCAATGCCCCAAGGACAGCGGCACAGCGGGAGGGGCATCCTCAGAGATTCAGGAATTGGGGAACAAGACAGCAGACCACTTCCTAGAACTGGGAACAGGCAGGGCTTGGTCTCAAGCCAACAAGTTCAGTGATTCCATTACTGAAAATGAGAATGAAGGGGCCTGGACAGCACAGCTTACATGACTAATGAATTAATTTATTGATCATGATTAAAAGAATAAGATAAAGAAATCAGTTCACTAACAGCTTATTAACTACCTACTCCCTTTCCATTGGTACTTTCCTTTTTTAATTTTTTTCAATTACAGTTTACATTTAATATTATTTTGTATTAGTTTCAGGTGTACAGCATAGTGGTTAGACAATCATATACCTGAAAATGTGTTCCCACTGTTATTTCCAGTTCCCATCTTGCACCATACATAGTTATTACAATATTATTGATTATATTTCCTATACTGTATGTGGCATTCCCGTGACACTTTGTGACTACCAATCTGTATTTCTCAATCCCTTCACCTTTTTCACCCAGTCCCCTAGCCTCCCCTCCCCTCTGGTGATCCTCAGTCTGTTCTCTGTAGCTGTGGGTCTGTTTCTGTTTCATCAATCTTTTTCTTTAATCAAGAAATCTTATCATCTAGTTAGCTTTACCCTTTTTAATGTTGACTATCACTTCAAGAAATCATTCCTAACTAAATTATTTTAAATAGTCTCAAGAGAAAGGAAGGCAAGTTGTTGACTAACCACCAGACTGAATCTTTTCCTTAGTAGGAAACACACACATCGCTTTCATTTTCTCAGCCTTATAAGAATAGGTGCTTGTTTCTTACCCATAAAGCTCTGGATGATCAGGGCCATGCTAACGCCAGTGTAGATGACATAAAAACTATTAATAGATGATGTCTGTAATAAACCTGAAGTAGGAAACAGAACTGTTCCAAAAAGAGAAGTATAAAATAGAAGAGGAAAAAAAAGGCAGTTAAGATGACTGTCTTGGTGAAAGGAGATATTTCAAAAGAAATATAAAATCTTCATGGCACTCTTAACTACCTATATTTGGATTTTTGTGTGTGGCTATTTTATCTTGCTGATCAGTGAAAGAAGAAAGAATATGTTACATTTAATTAAACATTTTTAAACTTTTTCTTTGCTCAGAACCAGCTCCTCCAAAATCACTCTTTGCAGTGAATAAAACCCAGACTTCGGTGACTCTGCTGTGGGTGGAAGAGGGGGTAGCTGATTTCTTTGAAGTCTTCTGTCAGCAAGTTGGCTCTGGTCAGGAAACAAAACTGCAGGTACCGTACACGCTCGTCTTCCTTCTCTGGGTTACCTTTGATTAAGGCTAATTAGCTGAGCAAAATGAAAACCTTTGCTTTCTTAGACCGATAGAAAATGAAAACACTGCATTTATGCTTTTGTGTTTCAGTGAGAGAAATTAACAATATGCTCAGAACAAGCCCAAAGTAGTTTGTAGAACCAAGTTGCCAAATTGCCAAGTTTAGTTTCAACTTTGAACTTGTCTTTTGTCCCTAAACCTTAGCCCCTCTGGTTCAGACTGAAGGATTAAGGGGGTTCACTTTTCCTTTTGGACATTAAATCCATTGAGAGGATGAAGACACTGCCATGGAAAACATAATTTAATGAACATGAACTGATTCCAGTTTTGTGAAGGTCACTGTATGGAACACAAATGGCAGAATTAATACCTGCCTTCAAAAAAAATTTTCATACAGTTGTGGATAGTTCATTATTCTAGAAATCATGAAATTAAAACAAGTGCCACAAGAGAGATGCATATTACTAAGAAAAATGAAAAGAAGCGTCCATCTCTAGTTAGTAAGGAAGGAAGGTAATTTTGTTTGGGAAAATCTAGGATGGGTGATGTGACTGTTAAAGCTTTAGTATCACAGACAGCAAATATGGTGGGCACTGAATTGTCTGCCAGCTCAAACATATTTTACAGTCAGACATGGAAGGAAAATGGAAAGTGTGAGGAATATCATGAAATACAGTGAATAATTGATGCTTTTAAAATAATGAAATTCTTGAGATTGAAAAAAAAATATTTCTTGGAGTATAAATCTTTTTAATACTCAACTGAGTGTTAAGATAATTTGCTTTATTCCTTTTCCCTTTTGATATTGACTTCTACTAACTTATCTCTTTTTTATCTCTACTGGACAGTAGAATCTTTTTTTTTTTTCCATTCTAAGAATCCTTTTTGAAAACCACTGCTCTGCCAGGAGTGGGGGTTTTTTTTCTCTAGAACTGCAGTGATATTTTCTTTAAGAAAACAAGGGGTAGGCTGCTACTTACTACAACGGAGTCTTGTTGGCAAGTCTTTTCTTAGAAGCATTCTTTTATAGGATAGTGAGAGATGGGAGTGAGAAATAGTGCTGATGCCTTTCATCTCTTTAGGCAGTAGTTTTCAGGTCCTTGTTTTACTGACTCGTCTTTTTCTTTTGTGCAGCATTACTTGTCACTAGTGTGACTATTGGCTCACCAAATTTACAACTTATTCTGCATAGAATAGGTTAATATGAAATATTTTTGAGAATGCAAAGTCACTATGCCTTTGGTGGATGCTGCTTAAAAGCTGAGAATGCAGACAAAGGGATGGGGGAGGGTGTCCTTAATATACAAAGAACTACCTCAAATAAAAAAGATAAGGACCAACAACTCAAAACAAAGATTTCACAGAAAATAAACACAAAAGTCTCTTAAACATATGAAAAGATGGTCAACCTTCTCTCATGGAGAAAGAAATGCAAAATAAAATTACAGTGCGGTATAGTTTCCACTAATAAGATTGGAAAAGCTCAAAGTTTGCCAGTACGCTATGTTAGAAGTAGTTAGGGAAACAGGCATTGTCAGACATTGACAGTAGGTAGATAACTTGGAAATGCCTATGGAGGACACTTTCAAAATTAAAAATACACAGCTTTTGACCCAGCAATCTAATTGCTATGAATATAAAAATATATATACATACATACATGTGTATTTGCGAACATATACTTATGTTCCCATAATTGTGAAGTTATGTTCCCTGTAGCATTGTTTATAACTTATTTTTCACTGCTATCCTTTTTCGTCTTTTAAATTTTTTACTCTGTCCCTCCATTACCAACTCAACTATGAAAAATTTAAAAATCAAAATAAAGAAAGTTACATAACATTTATTTAATTTTCTGCATCTCCAGGAACCGATTTCTGTTTCTTCTCATGTTGTGACCATCTCCAGCCTTCTTCCTGCCACTGCCTACAACTGTAGTGTCACCAGCTTTAGCCACGACAGCCCCAGTGTCCCCACATTTATAGCCGTCTCAACAATGGGTAACTACATGGAATAGGGGGATCTGGTGTCTTTAAAAGTTATATATTTCCAAAATTTTTGTATGTTTTATATACAAATATATATATATATATTTCTATTGAAAAATTCTAAGCTTTGACTGAGATCAGGGAGTGCTTAATTTCGATCCCTATGTGATTTAGGGGAAGATATTCCCTATATCTGAACCGTTGTTTATTCATCCGTCAAGCTGGAATAATAATATGTACCTTGTTGAGCTGTTTTGAGGCTTAGAAATAAAGCACATAAAATCCTGGCACATGCTGTCTAAATGCTGGTTGGTATCAATGTCACCATCCTCTTCAGTGGTAGCCACAGCGCCCTCACCAGCTCTGGCTCATCTAGTTCAGCTTTGGCCATTCGCCGTCAGATCCTGGCGAGACTCAATTTCTGGGCCAGAGCAGAAAAGTTTCCAATCAAGCAGAAACTATGGGTGGAGAAATTTAAAAATAGTGGAAGGTCTAGAATAATGCTGTTTCCTTATTCTTTTTCTGAGTTATATGTTTTATTCCCCTCTCTGTTGGAGTCTGATTCTACAATCTGAGATCTCCCATGAAACTGCCTGTAATAAAACCACTCTTCCTATCACATTACCCTTTACTGGATCCATTTTCATTTCTGTGACATTTATCATATATTTAGCCACTGTATCCAATGATGAATAGTGTAGGCTTTTTTGGTTTGTGTGCTTTGGATTTTTAAATTTTTCTTTTTTCAGAAGAGAGGACAAAAATAGACCTAATAAGTATATCATATCAATAGTGTCTCACTTTTATATCCTTTTACACTCTTCTAAATGTAACTTATTGTTCATTATTCCTTGTCATCTCTACAACAAGCCAGAAGCAGTTGATATTATTAAACTGATTTGTTAGTGAGGATAATGAGGTCCAGAGAGACAGATAAAACAGCCACCCCACATGGCAATTAGTAGTCAAGTGAACTTGAACCAGCTCTTCTGACCATGAGTCTACTGTTCTTTCTGCTCAAGTACTCTGCCCATGAACTGGAGCCACATTGTCCCAAATGGGAAGTGGCAACACCCAGAGACTTAGGGATTGTATATGCCAGCCCATTCCATGATGTTATGATCAGTACAGAGGATGGTATCATTCTTGTCTTCTCCTCTGGCCCACTGCTAATAGTTTTATAAAACATTTGGTATAAATTCCCACCTTTAATACCTTGCTCTTCCATGAAGTGTGATGAGCTAGGCAATGTGTAGTGCCATTATAGACCGATCATCATACAAAGTATATGAAAGGGACACAACCTCTGTTCTCAGGGGCCCTACAACTTATGAAAAGGTTTAATCTCTTGAGTTGTACAGATGGAAAACCTCTCAACATATGGTTACAGATCATCAGAATGCCTGCTTCTAGCGATGTGTTAAGTGCTGTAGCAGATGGCAGCTCGCTAATGCCTTTTTCATATACATTATTAGTTGTGAGTGAAATAGACAGTGGTGCTTTCTGACTTTAAAGTCGTGGGTGTAAAATAGGAGTTTGCAAGCTTCTGAAAAAGTTAAAGAATGAAAATACATGATAATGACTTCCAATGAATTTAAACTACATCACAGGAATTACAGTTTATCATTTCCCTTTATAGAACATCCAGAATGTAGGCCTTAAATACTTTTGATCAATCCACTAACTTGTAGTTGACCAGGAAGAGTTTATTGTCAGCTTGGAGAAATATCATTGTTGCTGTTGTTGTTGTCACAAGTCCATAGCTCTCAAAATCAGATGGAAAACCATGAGTGGGTTCGGTTGGTGTCCATGTAACGGAAGCTGTAACTAAAATGTATGGTGTATCTGTTTAGTTACAGTGATGAATCCCAATGTGGTAGTCATCTCAGTGCTGGCCATTCTTAGCACCCTGCTAATTGGATTGCTGCTGGTCACCCTGATCATTCTCAGGAGAAAGCATCTGCAGATGGCTAGGTAAGTTAAGTTTGGTTAATCTTTTACCCATAGCCTTTACATTATTTTATTTATTATACATGTATGCTTTTATAGCAGTAAGTTGTCTACTTCTATTTCATGTTTTCTTCTTTAAATTTATCTTTATTATTGAAATTATTACCGATGTCCTCCTTTTCCCCCCTATTGACTCCCTTCACTGCTGTCCCCTCCCCAGCCTTTATCATACTTTGTCATGATTTCTAAGAAGATTTTTAATATTATTTTAGAAAACATTACCATTGGAAAGGTAAAGCCAAACTTGTTGGTTTACACAAAATCAGACCTCTTATCTATGGATCTTGTCATTTTAAGTGGCCCATACATTACATTTGGATAATTTCAAAGTTGTTTTGGAGTAAAAGAAAAATCTATAACTACTCAGAATGATTGATAAAATAAGTTAATATATGTGGAGACCACAAGAAAGAAAAAATCCCCTTCCTCATTAGTTCTGTTGAAGCTGTCTTGTGATAAATTATTTGTAGAGTTTGTGATTAGGTTCATTAAAAGTCCCCCATCATTTTTGTTCATATTATTCAGAGTTGCAGGCAGTTTCATTTCTCTTGCAGTTAGAAAAGCCTTTTGATTTATGATTTTGATGCTTCCCTATTCCTTTGACCACTGATGCATTTCTTATCAGAGCACATTGTCAAGAACAATGTGGTCTGTACATTATCAAAACAATTATAAGTTCTCTTAAAATATACACACACACACAACCAGTTACCTAGTTAAGTACTAACAGGTTTGGGGGTTTGGGAAATTTTATTCAAATGTATATTTGCCCAATGTTAGTTGGCTGACTTGTCATCAATCAACATCCTTCTTTCTCAGAGTTCTATCATTCACGTATTCTTAAATAAATGTATGGCATAGTCAAAGAAAAATCAGATATCCAAGCACCCAAGCTGTCCATGAGGAACGTAGAGCCTAGCTGGAGACTTGTAGATAAATAAATACATTTAAAGGTATGAACCGACTTGTATTAGGAAGGATATAAAAATGGAATAACATGAAAGTAAAGGAAAGAGATTAGTCAAGAATATAAAAATCAAGCTTCTTAATGTTGGCATTAGAACAAATCTTAGAAGGATAGTGAGGGTAGTGGCACAGCACTGTGGCTAGAACATGAAGTTCTGAAATCATACTCCTTAGGGTCAAATCTTGATTTACAACCTATGTGTCCCTGGGGAGCCCACGGAAACTTTATCCATTTCATTTAACAAGTGTCATTGGACACCTGTTTTGTGTCCGACTCCTCTGGGTGCTTGGAATATGACAGTGTGCAAAACAGGCAGCTTATCTTCTAGTGAAAAAGATAGACAAATACTAAAGGTAAAAGTTAAAAGATTAGGTTGTATGTTAAAAAGATTAGGTTGTTTGTTAGCAAACAGTAACAGAAAAATAACAAAGCAGAGTAAGAGAGATTGGCAGTACCTGTTTGGGGAATATGAGGACAGGAGCTCTGGGAGGAAGGTAGATCTCACTGAAAGGGTGACATGTAAGAAAAGACTGGAACATGAGAGTTAATCATGTGGTACCTGGGGGAAGTGTGCACCCAAGAGAGGAGGCAGGAGCACTACTAGCAGGCTCAAAGACTAGCTGGAAGTCAAGAGTGGCTAAAGCAGTGGAAATGCGTGGAGGAGCAGCAGGAGGTGATGTCAGATCATACAGGGTTTCATAAGCAGTTGTAAGGACTTCGGCCTTTACTCTGAGTAAATGGGCAGCCATTCCAGAGTTTAAGCGGAGATTAAAAATACCTGACTTACATTTTAACATTTTCATTTTGACTTTTATGTAGAACAGGCTGTAATAAGGCAAGGACAAAAGCAGGCCTGAGAATTGAGGCAGCCATGACCATAATCCAGGCAAGAGCGAGACAGTAGTAGTTCAACCCATAGGAATAGCAATGGTGGGTAGGGGAAAATGATCAGATTCCAGATATATTTTGAAAAGAGAGGCAATAGGATTTTCTAACAAATTGCATGTTGGATGAATATGAAAGGAGTCAAGCATAACTCCAAGGTTTTTGGCCCTACCAAGCAAAGAGATGGAATTGTCAGAAACTGAGATAAGATTCCACATGAAAGGGTTTGGGAGGGGGCACATCAAGACTTTAGCCTGGGAAACATCATGCTGGAGATGACTGCAAGTGCAGGTGTGGAGTAGGAGCATAAAAGTCTGGTGTTCAAAAGTGAAGTCTGGATTGAAGATATAAATCTGGGAGTTGTTAGTATATACATGGTGTGAAAGCTGTAGAGGGGATGAAATCCAGGAAGTGGAAATTAGAAAAGAAATCTCTGGATTAAGCACCAGAATAATCTAGTATTAAGATTTTCATGGAGAAAAAAAAGGGTAACAGCAAGAGCGACTGACATGAGACATCCAGTGGAATGAAAGGAAAACTAAAAATGAGGAGGCCAAGGCATGTCAAGAGGAGGATATCTGCCTGGCTGGTGTGGTTCAGTGGTTAAGCATTGACCTATGAACCAGGAGGTCACAGGCTTGATCCCCAGTAGGGGGTGTGCAGGTGGCTTCTGATCAATGATTCTCTCTTGTCATTGATGTTTCTATGTCTCTCTCCCTTCCCTTCCTCTCTGAAATAAATAAAATTGCATTTTTAAATAAAGAAGAGGACAAGAACCCTACATTAGTGGATAGTGAGGAGCAATAATGCAGTAATAGCACAGCATAATACTCAACTCATAGGGAGTGTGCAACAAATGCTAGCTCGTAATAGCAATAGCGGAGGGGGCAGTAATGTGGTAATGGGGGGAGTGGTATGAATGAGGGTGTTATTGCAGGAGCATCCTCAATGCTGCAAACAGCAAAAAAATTTAGGACAAGTGGTTCTACTTCCGCCAGCTGGTTATTAGGATAGAGGTTCTTAACATTTTCTGTGCCATGCATGACCTGCTGGCAGTTTGAGGATGCTGTGGCTCTCTTCCAAGAATAATGCTTTCTTTTTAAGTGCATAAAATAAAATACATAGGATTGAAAAAGAAACTAATTATGTTAAAATATGGGCATCAAAGTGTAAAAGAACAAATGTGTTGTATGCTTCTTTATTAATGCATTAGGTAACAATATTTAGTAAGTGTACAGTAATTCTCATATTTCACCACAGTGATAAAGACAGCATTTCAATATCTGCAGAAAAGCCATTGTAGAAAAATATCGGCAATTTCTGTCATTAGCAAATCTCACAAGTACTGATGATATTATTGTCACTTGTTACTTACTTTAACAATTGAAGGAACTGCTACATATATCTTCATAGAGCCCTAAATTCCATCCTTAGACCCCAGTTTAAGAACCCTTGAACTGGAGGATAAAAAAAATTTCTTCTAAGTTAAATGTAAATAAATTCCTATATATTATAGGAAATGGACAAAGGAAAGTCAACTTAGAAATGTGTAATTTAAAATACAATATGATATAATATAGTCATGTATATTTTTCAAAAGAAGAAAACTATTCTTAGAATATCTGATAAGAACAGGAAAATAGCTGAATTAGCATATTGTGCCAGTAATGTCAAAATTTCTGCTTCAATTCTGAATAAGTCCACCAATTTCATGGAGAGGGAAAATGAGATGCATGAGCCCCAGTGAGCTACGTTATTGATGCATGATATTAAGCAAAAGATGGAGAAGGCATGAGAATATGTTTACCCTTTTACTCCAATTCTAGAAAAAAGGTTAACAATATTTTCTGCTGACAGACTAATGAGCAACATTCTGGATAAGAGGCTCTGCACAGGAAATCTGTTTTAATATGTATCCTTCTTTTACTCTCATCTCAAGTGATGAATACAATGGGGATCACAGCATGAGGGGGAAATTTTGGTGGAAGGAAACAATACACCTTGATCCACCATCATTATAGAGAGGAAATCAATATGCTATAAAAAACAAAACCCTGTGAAGAATATTTGCTAAAAACAAAAACAAGTGGGTAGGGAGTGAGGGCGGGGGTGGGGCGGGAACTGGGAAGAGGGGAGTTATGGGGGGAAAAAAGAGGAACAAATGTAATAATCTGAACAATAAAGATTTTTAAAAAACAAACAAACAAAAAGAAACCTTCATTTTATCTAGAACAGTTGCTATAACTTACTTTGTGAAAAATATTAAATCACAAATAGTTCAAAGATTTATTTAGGATCCTGAGTGCCCTTTGGAAAGGATTGTGAACTGAAACCTTTTGGCCCAGCTTGCTGTGGGGATGTGTGACCTCGTAAAAAATTTGTTTTGTTTTGCTTTATCTTTCTATTGAGCATTTCATGCAAAGAGAAACCCAGAGAACTCATTATAGCTTTATAAAATGTAACATTATGATGATGAACCGTAAAGACTCATATGTCGTGGTAAAAGAGTGCTCCGTCAAGCAGACACTTTGATCTTGTGATTCCTTTCATACAGGGAGTGTGGAGCGGGAACTTTTGTCAATTTTGCGTCCTTGGAGAGGGATGGAAAGCTTCCATACAACTGGTGCGTATTCTTTCAGAACAAGCCTCCAGACAGCTTAGCTACGCTGTTTGTGCTCCAAACTGTGTTTTACTATCTTCGGAGGATAAATGTTTTTTGTCTGTTTATCCTTTTTCATAATTTCTCTGACAGTGGACTTTCAAAGGTTAGATCTGCACAGAGTATATTGGTATAAATTAGTTTAATACAATTATGAAGTAGCAAACTTGTCATAGTCTGCTCTGTATTTACTATATTAAACAAAGGACTAAATCATCAGATAGGCAAGTAGCCCATTACTGTGCCCAAGGGCTTACACTGAAAAAGTGGCGGCTGGCGGCATGACAAGAAACCCCACTGAAGCACGTGGCACAGACAGCATCTCTACTTACACTCACCTCTCAGTGCCTGGGGACATGAGCCACCACCTCTGTTCAAACATCAAGGAGAAGTATACAGCCCAGGGCCCTCGACTCCCACTTAAGAGTAAATAAATATCAAAGCCAAGAAGGTTCCATGAGAAAACATGGCATCATTTTTCTTTATTCTTCAGTATTTAGGACCTGGAGGGAGAAGGTATTTTGAGAATTAAGAAAGCACTTTCAGGGGATTCAATTGGTTGACATTGTACTTAACAATGATACATGAGAATTAACAATACATGGCAATCAATACCCAACGAAACGGCTGATTAAGTAACCATTTACTATAGCCAGCGCTGCTTACATGAGCTAGTTTGGCTTTTGTGCAAGCAACCATACAGACATTTCATATTAATTCTTGGTAAGTGATCTTTGTTCTGCTTTTACTAATCCCCCCAAATGATTAATCTGAAAGAAATCAATATGTGATACTGGAAATTTTACTCTACAGAATCAATGAGGGAGGGAGGGTTCTATTTAAAATATAAACTCTACCTCCCTAAGTGGGCACCTAACTACTTGAGGCCCACTCTGGTTGAAAGTCTAGTTGGAATAGGATGCTTTTGTGTTATTTTAAAATTTTAGCCCGAATGGAATTTTGCTATCCAAATATGACTAATCCAATGGTGAAGAGAGAGAAATTCATAAACCCTCGATGGTGAAAAGTTAGGAGACATTTTGTTCAAATATATTACCACATTTTGCAAGATGAAGAGACTAATGCCCTGATACTTGTTTGCCGCCTGGCCCATCCTTAAAAATGGTCCCGTCACAGACCGGTGGTGAGCGGCTCAGGTGGGAAATGATTCATTTGTACACATGACCCAGGAGAGCTGTGTATTGACTGCACAACCAGTCACAGCTTATAAAATATGGGAGACCCATTATGGGAGAACTGAGGCAAAAGAGACTCCACTTCAGGACTTTTCTATAAAATCAAGAAAATTCTCAACTCTTGGCAAAGACAGGTTTCCAGGCCCAGCATTTTCAGGCTGAGCATAGCTATCTCAGTGCAGATTTGTAAAACTAAAGTGACAAGGCGACAGCATTGCCCCCTAATTCTCAGAATAGCTATCGATGCAAGCATATGATATTTTTAAATCTGCATTAATGAATGTTCTATGTTACAACTGGTTGGAATATTTGAAATTGGTTTCAAACCATGCATTTTAGACCAACAGTCTGAATGAGAATTAAAGTGAAACTCAGTAGTTTTGCTCCCACTCCGCTGAGTACTGGTTAAGCTCACAGACTGGGCTACTGTTCCTGAATGAATGGCACCTGAGTGTCGTGCCCACCTCCGTGCTAAGGGTTACTTTTTAGAAATGGTGTATAAGTTAAAATAAAATCAACGTAGAAAGTCACAGTAATGTGCTAAAAGTGCCGCTTGACAGGAAAGTGTCCCGAAAGCTTTGAGTCTTCACCAGGACCGGTACGTGTAAACTCACCATTTATATTCCCTCCCATAGCTGCCAAACGATGTTTTATAGGTTCCTTAAAATAGACTTAGTTATGCACTGCAAGGGTAATACCCAGGAGGAAGACTTGAGATAACTAATGAGGCATTTAAGCGCTTCATTTCACTGAATGTGAAATGTAATCACCTAATAGCAGACTAATTAACACAAAATACATTGGGAAAAAAAAATCTGATTACAATAAGTGGCTGTGTGTGAATGAAACTGATTTTGACAATATTATAGCACTTCAGCCCCCAGGTTTAAATTTCACAGAACGGAATAATATTTCATTATAATTAAGGTGCTCATTTTACTTGATTCCAGTGAATAATGTACTGATGTCTGTTCACAATTTATCTTACTAACTCTTGCCACTTCTTCATCTTTACATCTGTTATCTATTAATGCTCACAGGCGTAGGAGTATATTTGCTTTCCTAACCCTGCTACCTTCATGTCTTTGGACTGATTATCTTTTGGCATTTTATATTAATCCTTGGTAAGTGATTTTTATTTTATTTTTACTATTTACCTAACACAGCCTTTAAAAGTTAGCTTTCGGGGAGTAAACAAAACAGAAAATTCTTTTATGTGTTGGCAGCATTAAAATTATTCATCAGTGAAATGAATTAAAACAGTGAATGGTACCGAGATGCTAACAAAAATGTTTCCCGATTAAATTTTCTTCTTGCGATGTTCTGGCATGCTTTCCTCCCACACACTACCCATCATTTGTTTCTTCCTGTGTCGATCCAATGGCCTCTCATCTTGATAAATGATGCTTTCCATTTTCCTTCCCATCTCCATCCATTGCAGAGCTCCATATTCCCAAGAAGGAAGAAATGCACTGAGGTAGAGAAACCCAGAGCACTGCCCCCTCATGTGGCTCCTCCATGTGGTTTTTTTGTATAAGAATGCTAACCTAATGAATATGGGGCAAATGACCATGTTCAAGCCTCTTTGTATAACTGTCTTATTTATTATTTATTAATTATTATTTTAATATTTCTTTTATTGGTTTCAGAGAGGAAGGGACAGGGAGAGAGAGAGTGAAACATCAATGATGAGAGAGAATCATTGATTGGCTGCCTCCTGCATGCCCCCCACTGGGGATCGAAGCCGCAACCCAGGCATGTGCCCTTGGCTGGAATTGAACCCAGGACCCTTCAGTCCGCAGGCTGACGCTCTATCCACTGAGCCAAACCAGCTAAAGCTTTCTTATTTCATTGTCATTACTCTGCAGAGGGTACTGTCACCCCATTGTAGAGATATGGAAATATAGGTAGAAGAAGATTAACTAAGCACTTGATGAGCTACTGTTCTTGAATGACTGGTACCTGAGTGTCATGCCATACCTCCATGTAAACTGTTACTTTTTTAGAAATGGCATATAAGTTAAGATAAAAAGCCTCAGAAAGTCACAGTAGCGCACTAGAATGCGGCTTTATACGAATGTGTCCCTTGCTTAATTCTTTGATTTTTCTCATTTTCCACCACTCATTTTAAGCTTATATCAGGCGGGCCTATGCTTATTTGCATGTCTTTTATATATATATGTAAAAGTTATATATATATAAAAGTTATAT